AAGTACAGCTGTTTATACTTTTATCTTGCTGTTTTCTTTTTCTTTGGGATCAATCTTAAAATGAAGCTTGCCTTGAGAAGCAGAGGGTAATGTGGGAGCTTTTCTGCTTGTGCGCTTACTGGAATAGGTACAATCATTCATATTTTGCCCAAAACTCAGTGAAATAGCTAAATATTTTCTAGACAGCTGCCATGTCTAATCACATTTATTTGTGTTTAAATTTTGACGTATGGTTCCCATTTCTGGGAAGCCTTCATGCTATTTAATGGATACAACATTATTTTAAAATTGTGGACACAGGCAGAAACATTGCTTGACATTAGACTGATTCTGAAACAAGGTAACCCTATTTAGAGTTAATTATGACCCCTTGAGGGGAGCTGGCGTAAAAAGCCCTGAGAATATTTACAAAATTGGGATGTTAGTCCAAGGAACACTTATTGGGCTTGAAATAAGCCCACATATTTTTGGGTTTTTTCTTTTGTCTTTTCTTTTTTTTTCTTTTGTCAGTTTGAGAGGAACAAGTATAATTGAATTGGGCAAAGCGCTCTCTCTGACATTGATTTTTACAACAACTTTACCTTTTAGACAAAGTCTCACATGTTATTGATTTGAAAATTCATCGTGAATGTTTTAAGATCTGGTTTCTGTCTTCTCTAGGGAAGAGAAAGAACAACACACAAAATAGTGAAGTGTAAGGTACAGGTCAGGAGCAGAACAGCACATGCAACGCTTTCCTCCTTTCAAGCCCAGCGTTTGGCTGGATGAATTTCCAGAGTTTGTTGTTCCTCTTATTTCTCTCTGCATCTATGACAGTTATGGCAGGGGCACAAGCCACCTCTAGACTAATTTATGTGTGTGCCCACGCCCACACAGAGCTCCACTCATCAGAAGTCAGAAAACTCTCTTAAGAGGGGAAAAGTAGAAAGTTGCTTTTGGAAAATATTCTCTTCCTTTTATTTTTAATTAGTGGTGCTCATTTACATGAAGGCATTATGATTGTATCAACAGAAAGACCCCCCCCACTCTTCTGAGGGGTCTTGCACCGGAGGAAACCACATCTATAGGATAAGTAATTTTTATCTAAAGACAGAGTACTCAGATGTTGGAGGTGGATTTACACTTTGTCTCTCGTGAGTATTTGTTGTCTGTGATGCCTTATTTCCCCTCTGTGGTTTTTTTCCAGACAATGATAAATGGCACAGGATGGGACATAGAGCTGATATGTCCATTGGACAGATGCAGTTTAGGTAGGCATTAGGATATGGCTTGCCTGAATGCTATTCAGCAATTCCTGAATTTGAATCATTGATTTTCTAAAGTAACACTTCCCTCTGCAGTGAATCACTTGTGACTCTACCCTTGTGACTGGGACCACAGGACAGACCAGCTCAGAGACACTGCAGCCTACACAGGCTTTCCTGAGTAGCACAGCCCAGTCTCATGTTCCCATTGCCTCCTTGTTCACATTTGTGGTGTTTCACAGCTATGTTATGTTGTGCAGGCAGCCAAGGGACAATGGAATGGGAATGAGTCTTTGTACATCAGAGAGGTGTGACATTCTGAGATAATATCTCCAATATAGAGCAAGAAATTATCGGCACATGTGGATACTGGAATTGAAAGGGACATCTGGGCTCAGACAAATCCCTTCAGGCTCTACATGTACAAAGGCAGTGCCATGCTATCTCCAGGCCTCTCAGAGCCCACACTGTATGCTGTTTATACATATATCCCAAGTTTATTCACATTCTGGAAAGCTGCCCCAGGAATGTCTACAATCTGGCATGTAGCACATTACAGCTGCATTGCTGAAAGAACCCTCCAGCAGACAAATCCCCCCCTCTCCTGCACAAAGGCTCCTCTCTGTATCTGCAGGCTCAGATGGGCCACGGCCTCCCGCAGTGCAATGTTTGCTTACCCTGAGTCTGCATCCCATCAAGAGCAGCACACGGTGGGCTCTGCAGGCTGTTGGACTGTGTGGAGCCCACCTGCATCACCTGCAGCCCCTGAGGTGGAGGAATGACCCAGCAGATGGATAACTCCTCACAATCCTCCGTGGGCTCAGTTCTTTCCTCCTTAGGCTCAGCTGGGAAATAGGTGACCTGGAGACCTGGTAACTGGTACACAAAGCAGAGATGAAGCCAGACCACATTTTCTGGGTGACTCTTTGTGAGGAGGAACTGGTGCAGTGACCTGCCTCAGGTGGCAGTGTCCATAAGAAGTACAGAGGAAAACAAACAAATGTGGCCTGAGAAAAGAGTAAATCTGAGCAATACAGCCTCCCTGATTCACAGATCTACCCAGATGCCCAGAGTTAACCTAAGTCCAAAGGGCTGGGTTTTTTAAGCTGAATAGCTCTGCTCATTAGGGACCAAGGTAATTAATTGCCTCAGCAACGACTGACATGCACTGTACCACATTGCATGCAGAAGTTGCTGATGCCCAGAAGCAAAGATAATACTACATTCCCTCTATCCTCCACCCTGAGAATTCACATCAGTAACAACCCGTTAGGTCTCAACACTGTTTCCAAGAAATGTGGCTAAAACAGCATTTCTTTGGAGGTAACAAAAATAAATGGGACTCAAAAGAAAAGCAATTTACCTAGGAAACTCTGAGAGCTCCAAACATCAGCATATATCAGCTTTCCTGGGATTTTTTATTTTTATTCTGCATTTTCTAAATGGCATGGATTTAGTCCCTGTAGATGGGCCATGACGGTGCACATCTGGTTTTATGGTTAAGGAAATAGGTGATTGAATCGATACACTCAGCACAGCTGACTGGAGTAAATAAAAGAGGATTTGAAGGAAGCCTTGTTTTCCCCTGGATGGATGAGTCCACCCTCAGCGCTGTTGCAATTGCCCTGGCCTCAGTGAAGTGACACGAGGGGGGAAGAGCTGTCAGTGTATTTCGTCATGAACTGAGCTTGTTCCCTGTCCATCATAACTTTGATTTTGTAAGAATAGGTTGTAAAAAGTGGCAACCATTTTCTGCCCAACTCACTGCAGTCAGTAACAGAGGAAGCTGGCAGGCTGGGCCAGGAAAATGGGACTGACCCACTGGGTAAATGGTTTCCATCGCTGGACTCCATGATCACACCTAATGATTCTGTGTGGAGCAATTGTCAAACATGAGCTGCTTTGTTCTCACAAGCCCATGGGAAAGGATGGGGGAAATGGTAGGAGAAAGCTGTGTGTCCAGAAGGGGAGCACTGGGAGGCATTGGGGGTTCAAACCTGGCAGCAAATCCTGACTCAGTGTAAATGAACTGCAAAACTCCTGTGGAGCCCCAGGGTTTTGGCGGCCACAGGCTCATGTTTCTCTGCTCTAAACTTTTGGGCACAATACAACTGTAAAAGCATTTGAAAAAGAGCATTAAAAAAAAAAAATACCAATCACTTTTTGCAGTGATGGGGCAGCCAGAGAGTGGCACCTGAAGAGTTTGTGGGAATGCACAATGGACCCAACCTGTCAGGATGATCTCCTGGGTGGGCAAAAGAGTACAAGCACCAGTTTATGGCTCCTTGTTTTCCAAGCGTGTATGAGATTCCCACAGAGCAAATGGCTGGCTGAAACTATTCCAGCAACTTACCTTTAGGCTGATAATTGAGGGTAAGACACAGACCTTTGAAAAATACCTTAGTTTTATTTGTTCTCTTTGTTCTCCTTGGGCAGACCATACACAGAGTCTTTCAGGCCCCTATTTTCTTCCAAAGCCCATATCAATCACAGCTGTGAAGTTACCATCCTAGGAGTGGTTTTTCCCAGGCAATGGGAAAGTTATTCTCTTAGGCACCTCATTGTCACTTCATATTCTGGGGAACTACTTCAGAGCAGGATCTGTTAGCTTTATAACAAATCCCTTTATTTACATGGAGGGATAGCAGTTTAGAGCTTATCCCACTAAAACATTGCAAGGAACAGGCCTGCAAGCGAAAATGCTGGTACAAGGTTCATTCCAAGCCATCCCCAGGGCTGTTTATCTCCCAGCTCTCACTAGTGCCAGATCACTTCCTACAGATGCAACTTGCACCTTGGGTTTTATCTTCTGTCCTTTCTGCAGCCAGGTCACCCTCTCACTATAAAACCCGAACAAAGCCAGGGTGGCTGGTTTGCTCCTAACACCTGGGGGCTGTGGGTGCTCTGCGGCCCTAAACCAGCACAGGTGGGGCTCATTTACCTGAATTTGACCTCTCCAGAGAGGCCTCTTGACCAGCCTCTCCTGGGTAATTCTAGTGCAAAGCTCAGGGTGCTCTCCATACCTAGGGAGGGCAGGGGCTTCCTTGTGGGTGTAATTACATAGAACACATGAAGAAATACAGATAGAGCTTGGTTTGGATGTGCATTCTGCCATGGAGAGGTTTTGCCATTCATTTATAGTCTGTGTCACCTGAAGCTCTTGTCAGCAGCCTGACAGAGAAGGTATTATCTGCCTCTCAGAAGACCCTGAGAAGCTCCACCAAGGGCTCATGTCCTGCAGGTGTGAGGCAAAGGTGTCAATGGGAGCTGAGCTCCTGCATAGAAGGTACTTGTCTCTTTCTTTGTTTAAAAACACAGGTTTGAAGGGGATTCTCTTCTTAGGTATTGTTTTTAAGGCCTACAATCAATAGCTGAAGTGTTTCTGAGTGTTTAGGGGGGTGATGGATATTCTGCCCAGCAGAAGAGGAGTTGGTGCACTGTGGTAAGAGTCCCACTGGAACCTGTGTTTCTTGGTACTATTCAGGCTGGGCAGGCTTCTCTAAGTTCAGCCAGCCCTAAAGGCTGGATTTAACCAGACCTCATCTCTGGGACTGTGAGAGATGCAATTAATTATTAAAGGACATTAAAAATTCCAGAAACAGCAAGACCTAACAAGAAAAGATGAGCCTGAGCAATGCATTGCCAGTCCTCTGAGGAGTCAGGACTGTATGGAAGTGTGCAGGTTGTTGTATGATGTCTGAGAAAAAAAAAGACTGAGTTTATTTCATTTAACAATTCCTTTTTCTCTCCTAGCAGATACTTGGCTCTGGGAAGAGATGTGGAGGAAATGTCTGGCAGATTTGCACCACAGAGAGAGCAGCACTTGCCTGGTAAGTGACCTTGGCAAAGGAGGAGTGGTGGGTGTCCTCTCTGTGGCTGGTGTGGGGAGGTCAGTCTCTATTTGCATCCTATGGCCTGTTTGCTTCTAAGCTTGATCTCTGCATCTCTGCTTGGAGTGTTTGGCCCAGCATTAAGAGAATGTGTCTGCTGTTAATGGAAATGGTGTTTCTGAGTGGCATGGAAGGAGTTTTCCAAACTCTGCTAGTATTTCAGTGCGTGATCTGGAGCAAAACAGGCTGCCTCTCTGCACCTCGATTGATTACTCTTGAATAAGGTGGACTCTTAATGCCTGTCCACAGGGGCGTTAAAAATGTAAAAAGTATTTGTAAATTAAAATGCCTGAATGAAAGGCTCTGGTATGTGTAATCATAGAGTATCACATTAAGTAGGAAGGCAAATGTCAGGGGAGTTCCTGGCATTCCATGGAGCTGAGCTTGTCTCACTTAAATAGATTTAATAAGCTCTGCTAGAATTGAAGACAGGTTGCATTTAAGCATATTTATTTGAATTTACATAAGTATACATCAAAGAGAAAATAATGCAGGCTCTTGGTTACTTCAGTCTAGTTTTTGATAGTTACTACTTCATCCCTTCCAGCATACCATAAAGTTCCTTTCATGGTCTCAGAAGAGCATAAGGAATTGAGTAAAAAGCTGAGCTTGTTACTCTGTGTGACTGTCTGGGGGTTCAAGGTAGAGCTCTATCTGTGTTTCATTGTTTTGGCAGTGTTCTGTCTGACTCTCCAATAGCCTTAGGAAGACAAATGACAATTCCTAACAGAACAGCGATACCTGACTTTCCTTTCCCTTCAGGACTAAGCAGGGACCTGATGAAGGTAGAGGAAACTGCTGCTTAGGGAACAGGTGATCACCCAGTGGTCAGTGCAGGGCTAACCAACCCTCTTGCCCCTTGGAGCTACATTTTATGTTCTTGGTATGTGTGAGAGCAGAAGATGTGCTATGTACTCAAGGATCTGTGAGTTACTAATAAGCAGGAGATGATGTGGGCTTCCTGGTGTTCCAAGGAAGCTGGGTGCCAGAGTGACCCTTATTCTGCTTGCTGAGTGCTGCATAGATGAGACTTGCATGTTGGCATTTCCTTCAGAAAAGGATGGGTCTCTTTCTCTCACTGGGAAATGTCCAGAGGCCAATAATTTAATCTTCCTGTGCCTCAGTTTCCCAGCTAATAAAATGGGGTTGCTCATCCTGCTCCCCTCTACTTACACAAAACTTTATCCCCCCTGACAGCGAGCATTATGGTCCAAGAACCAACTCTGAACACAGCCAGCTTGTACATCTTGGATGACCTGGTCTCATCCAGAAAGCCAAGAGCCCCTGGCAATCGCAGTCGGAACTTAAAGGCCAGTCTGTGGGCAGAAACAAGAGCGTGTTTTGTTCATACACAGCCAGCTCTGCCAGCTGTTTCCACACTTTAGCAAGTGTTTCCTATTCAAACAGAGAAAATGGTCGATGGGAACTGAACCAGATACAGCCATTCCAGCTAATAGCAAAGAGTTACACCCACGGAGAAGTTGAAAAAGATGTTAGATGTCTCCAATGCAGTATTTACCAAATTGCCAGATGTTTGGGCTCCCTTAAGTCATCTAACAGGCCTTTTCAAGGCAATGTTGCTCTTGAGTATGATGGCTCTCCTGAAAAAGCATTAAAGTGAACTAATTTTAGCCTTGAATTATGAGATTTTTCTCTAACAGAAGGTGTCCCTGAGGACACGAGGGTAGATTTTTATTTCCAAAACGTTGCCCTTGTATATTTTTAACGGATCATCTGGATGAAGTTCTAATGGCTGGTTCAGACTGTCTGATTAATAGCAACAGCTGTTCACCTTTGTAGATAGGGAGATTCTTGGAGATACAAAACACATTTATGAACTTAATATTCCACACCAAGGGTCAGGTTTTCTTGCCTTGTTTTTGCACAGGTGTAAATCCAGATAGGCTCCTGTGAAGTCAATGAAATTGTTCTGTAAAGGTGCAAAAATCAGAGCTGCAGGAAATGGCAGAGCTGTTATTTCTTTCTTCAGTAGACTGAATTTTAGAACCCACAGCAATTGGAGGTGATTAAGGTTGAGAAATGTACCCAAGGAATGATACGGTGTTCCTGCTGAGTGATGGGGGGAAATGCTGATTTTTGCAGGATGTCTGGGGAGCCATTTCTTCCTATGGCTATAAAAAATGGCAATCAGCCCAAAATTAGGAAGTATAAAAATGAAAGAATAATGAGAGGAGATAACTTAGGTGTCCTATTGTAGCTCCTTAATATTTTTATTCCTATATTTCAAAAGGTAGGGTTCCTACTGCTGAAACTTCCTGCAAAAATTCCTTTCCTTTTCAGTGTTGAAGTCTGGAAAAATAATTGATCATTCTGGCTTTTTTTTTAAAAAAAACTGCTTTCAGACAGTTGTATCAGTATATTTTTTTCATCTTCAGATCTTTTTATTATTTTATCTATATTTTGCCAAAAAAAGAGCTTCAGAATTCCCCGTGACATTTTCTCGTTTTGGTTAAGCAGATACCCCTGGGTTTTGTTTTAAAATTTATAACTCTTTTACAAAAAGAAAAGAAGTTAAGTTCTTCCAGATCCTACACAACCTCCAACCCAAGGGGACTTATCTTTGGGGACTTGTTTATGCTTTCTTAAGACAAAATGTTGCTGGAGCATTAGTATCCAAATGAACAATCAAGGCCATATAACTTTATTATTACCAAATCTGCTGTATTTCACACATTTGCACTCTCTTCACTTCCAGCTACTCAATCCATCTCTGTGTTTTCCATAAAATACTCTTAGAGCAGAGCTGTTGATGCTAGCTCTGATATAAAATGCTGCAATGATTGTGTCCTCCATACTCCACTAAATGGAATAAATAACATTATTAATTCAGTATCCAATTGTCTGGCTTACTACACTGAGCTTAATATTTAATACAATGTAATGGACCCGATTTCCAGCTACTGGATGCCTTCCCTTAACTTGCCTCTTCAATCATCAGTATTTGCTTAAAATATTGTGTCCACCTGAAGTGCAGAGGGAAAATTCCCTGGCAAAATTGAGGCAGAAATTAGACATGAGCAACTGTTTTGGGTTCCTGGGGGAGGCTCACAAGCTCCAGACCATGTCAGGAGTACAGGTGTGGGCCATGCTGACGTCATGTCATAACTGTGGTAACTCAGCCTTGCTCCTGAGTGCATGTACAGTGTTGTTTCCCATCTGGATTATGGTGGCCATGTGGTCCTGGAAGAGAAACAAGGACACGAGGTGCCTGAGCTCCACGGACATTAGTGTAGGTCCCAAAGGATCTGCAAGAGGTAATGCTGTTCCTTTGGATGGATGTTTTTCTGGCAGAGTTATAATGTGCAATCAAAGAACTGAGTTAAATCAAAGACCTGGGATTCTTCCCAAAGAAAAATCAATGGGAAAAATTCACCCTGGTATCTTTTAAACAGTCTGGATACAAAGCAAATTGTTTGGAGCTGGATACTGCCTGCCAAAACCTGCAGCTTTACTCATCTGAAATATTCCTGCATAGGAAAAGGCAATTCAGGACTGTTCTCTGCTTTGTCTGGTTTAGATCTCAAACTCCTGAGGGCAGGGGCTGCCTTGCAATGACTGACACTGGGGCCTTAATGCTGCTCCAGCACATCCAGTGCAGGGATAATGAAGTGAACTCCTTGCAGTAATTTGCTCTTGTTCTGTAGGCCTGGGCAATAGGCAGTCCTTTTGTTTAAGATCTCAGGGATTTGGCTCCCAGAATACCTGGTGATGGAGTTTTATAGCCAATTTTACTGCTGGTGAGTTGCTGGTAGCAGAGAACTAATCTGAATGTGGAAAACACGGTTTGCATCACCTGGCAAATTTATCCTTGAACTTCTCATCCAATCCAGGGATAGAAACAGGATGATTTGTAGGATTTCCCTGGCCAATCACAAGCATTTTATTGGAAAGGTTCAAAATTCCATCTAAAACCAGAGTGAAAGGTTTTTTAAAATGGCAAGGGGTTATTTTCAGAGTTGATCTGGATTTGCCCAGAACTAGTAATGCAAAGACAAAAAACAGCTGGAAGTGTAACTGGGAAGAGAATAGAGAAAGCTTCTCAAGGGGATTTTTTTTCTTGAAAACAGGAGAGGAATGAGATATTGTTGCTTCAAATATCTAATGAATAAAGATGAAAGCATGAACCTGGGAGCTGGCAAGACACCCAGGTCAAGTATGTGCTGGCATTAATATGATCCAAACCACTGGGCCTATTACAAAAAGGATTGTGCCACTGGTTATCCTAGGACCAGGCTGTGATGTGAGAATTCTCATGCATCAAAACATGACTGACCTGATTTTCTCTGCTGGACACCCATGTCTTTGCTCTCAACGCCAATTTGTTCTTAACAGGGTTCCACTGGAGCTTTTCTCTTTGATAAGGGTATTTTAAAAGTCTTAGGTAAGGTTGTTGATGCAGAAAAAGGAAATTTGAGATGTATAGTTCTTTCATATCACCTTATATTTGTCACAGAAGATGCCAGAGCTAGTAGGTTGGTACCAGGAATTTGATCAAACCTGAACTCTTAGAAAAATCTGTAACTTCAGTAGGATTCCTTATGGAGGATCTGGAGGATCTCTGATTATAATACTCAGGCTACTTCAGATCAGCCCTTGGTTGTAATTCAGACATGCAGAGAAGTTGCAAGGAAAATGGAAGAGCCACTTCCTTGAAAGGCCTTTTCCCTTTCTGCCTCAGGATTTCTAAACATGCAACATCTTGCCCTGGGCTTACAAAGTATTAGGTTACACAGATGTTTGCACTGGAGGTGTTAGGAGATAGTGGTGGCTTTTTGTTTTGGCTGTCCTAACAAAGTGCATGTTCACAGCCACATCCTCTCCATAAAGGGCCATAGTACTTGGAAAACTGTTATGTTTCTAGTTATGCCAGAGACTCTGTTTTCTGCTGCTGTGTCATAATGTATCTTAACGGTGTCATTCCATCAGAAACAGCTTTATATTGCTGGTCTCTAAAACTCCAAGAAAACCCACTCTGCAACCAGCGCTAAGGGGTACAGAATTCCATCAGGATTTCAACCCAGGGCATTGCTGGGAAGCATGAGCATGATGTATGGTTTGTTCCTTGTATCAACCATATTGAAAAAACCAGCATCCATGGTTACCACCAGCTTTCCTCTGCTCTTCTCGTGTGCCCCCTACACTGCTGTCTGCATTTATAGCCCCAAAATGCAGCCAAGGGCCAGAATTGTTCCAGAAGTACAATGTGTTCGTGCATTGCTTTGGATGAGAGATGGTAGAGTGGTGCCACTATTTTCCCAAGTATTGAGAGCTTTCCAGTAAGCCCTGTCTGGTCGCTGTGGTGAGGTCAAAGCATTGGCAAAGACAACCTCGAAGATGTCTTGCACCATTTCTCAATGTCTGTGGTTGCTTGGTTGTCTTCAAAGTGTCAGCACTTCCTGTAGAATGGAAACAACAAGGTTTTGTCTAGGAAACATCCAAATGCCTCTTCATTTTGGCCTTTGTGAAACTTTTTGAAGTCTTCCAGACGAAAAACAGAAAATTCCCCTGGCTTGAATATGTGTGTTTGTTGGTACTTTACAACTGCTGAGGGCTAAAAAGTACAAGAAAGTCCTGGGATCTGTGCTAGGAGGGTGCAATTGTAGATGAAGATGCAGCATTGAGTCCTCCACTAGTGCTCTCCAAGAGAAGCTTGATGGCAAATTTGTCTTCCCAGCCACAAATGAGAAAATGCACTGCTTCATATTTCCTGTACTTTATAGTAAGTTTACTGTAGTTGGTCAGGTTAATTCATCTTGGCCCTGGCTTTTTAGAATGCTCCCTGGTATATATTCTTCTCAAAGGAAAAGCCACCTGTTTTTCCAATCTGCTGCTATATCTACATTTAACAGAGGGGAATACTGAATCAAGTCCTGCTCCTGCTCTGAACTGCTCCCTGTATTGCCATGACAGTTTTTCCATGTGCCAGTCAGTCTTTTATAGGTGCAGAAACTACAAGAAAGTCCCTGGAGTGGCAATTTGATGAGAGCTCTTATTCCATTAGGGCTGCATTATAGGGCATTTCTACACTGCTTTTGTCAGCAGTCAGTAATCTCCATGGAAAGCTGAGCAAGGGGAAATCCCAGCCCAGCTGGGCTGAAGGGGCTTTTTGTACCTGTGAGGCTAAATGGGAGGGAAGCACTGGATGAACTGGAACTGAGGTTGTGCCTTAAAGACTTTCTCACATAATAAAAGCTTTCAGGTCTGCTTGGAGAGCAGGACACTGCACCACCAGATTTGCTCCAAGTAAATTCTGGCTTGGTCCTTTTGAAAGGCAGCAGTAGCAAGTTACTTTGGATGTCTCTTGGAGCATCTCTAGAACACATGGGGCTCTTTATCTCCATGCAAGCAGCTTTTTTGAAGTTTCTTGCTTGACAACTGCATGTGACAAGGCAATTACATTGTTCTGTGGCACTAGTGGGTTCTTAGGCCTTTTTATGAGCCACAGGAATGAAAAGCTCTGTGCCACACAGGTCGCTGGAGTCCAGTTGGTTGTGTCAGCAACCTATCTCAAATAACAGCAAGAACAGATGACATTCCAGTGGAAACTTCTTTACAAGGAAATACTTCAGATTCCAGATGTTCGGGATTTTTCTGCATATTTGTAGAGTTAAAGTGTTCCTTCAGGACTTGGTCAGCATAATTATCAGTACTGGATTCTTGCTTTTAAATGTATTTGAATAGTGAACGCTGTATAATTTGTGTGATAATTGGCTGATCTCTACCCTAGAGCCCAGAAGTCCTTGCTAGTGACAGGAGAAACTGAACTTGCCTCAAGTCAATCTCCCAGTACACCAGTAGCAGTTTAAGTGATTTGTGTACTCTATTAACCAAGTGACAGAGCCAGTATTTCTCCTCCTCCACCCTCCATTTCAATCATAGCTTATAGCAGTGAAAAACTTCACTGTTTTGTCCCTGAGCTGGCTGGGAAAAAGGGTTTGTGTGTCTGCTTGCTTAATTGGGAAAAGGGATTTTATGTGGCTCCCTGCACTTGCTGCCCTTATTACACGAGTTATTCCTCTATAGATTTGAAAGCATCCTCTGAGCAGTGAGTCATAAGGCACAGCAGACTTCCCCGGAGAGTCAGATGCAGACAGCCTTATCCAGAGCATCAGCTGTGCCTTTCTTCTCTTTCCACAGACAAAGCAAAGGCCCAAGGGGGCATCCTGCCTCTCTGCAAGGAAGGAGCTTTGCCTTCTAAGATCAGCTACTGAAAGACATATCTGTTTTTCAATCCATTTGGATGAGAAGATCACATTTCTTTCTGTAGACCCTGCCCACTTCTGCCTTAAAAACATCACTGTTACTCCATTGCATGACCTAAAACTTCACTGTCCATTTCAGGAGATACTTCTCAGCCTCCTTTGCCTGTCTAAAGTACTGACACCCTCCTCCATGTGGTTACTTTGGCAGGTGCTGTGACTCTGGCCCAGTGGTCTTTTCAAGTAGTGCACAGTGCAGTCTGAGGGGCTGGAGAAATTTGAGCAGCATCAGAACTCAGATATCCTTTCAGTTCTTTTAGCACATTTGCCAGACATGGTTTCTCCCTGCACACAGGTCTGGAACATCAGCATAAACATGTCAATTAAATCCCATTCCTTGCACAGCATTTCAGAAGTGTCCTTAATGCCATGGGAAATTGGCCCTGTGTGTGTCCAGAAGGGGATGGTTCAGGCTTGATCACACATTCAGCCCCTGGATTCACCCATTTGCACTGGCTTTGCACACACTGATGGGCTTGTTAAGCTGCCCAGTCCCCGCTGCCCAGTCCCCACTCCCCAGTGCCCTTCTCTTGGGTTGGATGGACAGGAAGATCAGGAGAGACTGGTGCCTTTGAGGGGAAGAACTGGAGTACAAAATGAACAGCCCACAACCCCAGCTGGCAGTACTGCATTCAGGAACACTTCCCTCTCCACAGGGGCTGGTCTGCTCTCTTTATCCACCCTCTGACATGATCCTATATCCAGGCACTTAAGAAGAAGAAAAAAGCAGCAAAACTGAAAGCTGCTATTTTTAAACTCTGCCCTTGGCTCTTTGCAGCACTCTGCTTTCCTCCCTGTGATTCAGTGTTCTTTTGAAAACTAGGCACCAGGGCCCTGTGGTTTCCTGGTACTTGGAACATAAAATCTCCTAATTCTTCTCTCACAGCAAGCTTCAGAGGCCTGGGAGTGATTGATATTTTCTATCGCTTCATTAATAGTCACGGCACAGTAGTTTCCTAATCTGTTTTTGCACTGCTTTTTATTTTGAATAATTTGTCTTTCGAATTTCCTCAGCCCTCCATGTCACACAAAGCAATTGCTGTTTGCTCCCCTCCTGCCTTTTAACTGCTGAGTTGAGACCTTCAGGAGCTGGTGAGGCAGAGCTGTCGGAGAGCTGGGAAGCTGGGGGTCCTGCCTCAAGGAGCTTTCTCGTGTTTGTTTTAACAAGCTTGGCAAATATCCTGAGTGTATGTCCCAGTGATCAAAATGCTAGAGACTTATTGGGAAAGGAGGACTTCAGTGTAATTCCTAAGAACTTCTGCTCACTTCCATTGCTGTACACAGTGAAAAAGCTTGTGCCAAAATTCATTTTTCCAACTTCATGGCCACCCTTAGTTCTCCTCTTCTCCAAATCAGACCTGCTCTGGAGTCCTCTGTGATAAAGACAACCCACCCCTCCCACAGAGGGCAACAGGATTAATCGACTTGGCAACCAGCATGGACACTGTAGTGTCTGAACTGCTTCTCCATGCTCCTTACACAACTCCACCTTATGGAATCTGATCCAGGCAATTATAACTTTTAAACCTGGATATTGGACCTATTTCTGTGGGAAATGAGATGCTCAGGGCACAGGAACTAAGCAAATCCCTGGCAGAGAGATACAGCCAGAGAAAACCTGTGGTATTTCCTGCTGGCCATGCCCTTCCCCACCACATCTTCAGGGCTAAAGCTATACTAGATAAATGATAGAATGCAGTGGGACCCATTTGCCAGGAGGCTTGGGATCAGCACAGGAGATGGAGGAACCAGGATCAAGGGTCAGCTGTGGTGAGCCAGGCCCTCCCTACCACACTGTTCAACCTCCATCTCCTCATTGCCTTCTGAACACCTGGAACCTTTACCTGTAACTGGGCTGGCTTTCCCGGGGTGAACAATTCGCTGTGCAGCTGGGACTCTCTGGCATGTCTGCAATAATCCTGAACTCTCTGTAAATTACTTTTTCATTCAACCCAACTTGGAAAGAGGCAGACAGGCTGTAGTCTAAACACCCCAAGAGTCTGTATTTGCTTTGTTCCTTACATGTTCCAGCACACTCGGGTCCCCTGTGATTTAAAACAATGTGTCTTTGTTCTTATCTTCTGGACTTGGCAAGGCAGTTTTTACCTCTGAGTTTTTGTCTCAACAGGAGAAATTGCTGTCTAACAGATCCTTTGTGGACTTCCGACCAAAACCATTCAGTGCAACATATGGTAAGTCGTTCAATGTTTTATAAACTCAGACCCTCAACTATAGCTATTTATGGGTGGAAACTGGCATATCAATAACTTCTTTTTGGTTACAGAGGTAATGAATTCTGGCTTATGTTATTATGACATCTCAGTTTAGGTTTCTCCAGCCCTTCCTTAGATTGTAATGCATTTGACTTTACATTTGTTGCTTCTGGTGCCTGCCACAGCTTAGCACTGTGGTGTGTGTGTGTGTGTCAGCAAAGGAAGAATCTCAGTCATGCTCCCCTTGCTCCAAAAAACACAGGCCCTTATTCCTTATGTTGAAGGGGAAGGTTTGTGCCCCGATGTGACATGTGGCTTTGGATGATCCTGGTACTGCACTGATGTATCCATTCTTAGTCATGTCATCCTCTGAAGCAAAAAGGGTGTGGCACAGTCGATAAATGAGTACAATTTGTGGGGTGGCTTGAAGTTCTCTTGATTAGCCATCAGCACTTGAGTGATGCTCTGCAGCTTTCAGCCTGTGATGTTGCTCTGTGCTCAGTAGCTGTACCACCACTTAGGGCACTTGTGCGCCCTAATTCCAGCACAGATTTAGGAGGTAAAAGCTTTTCATAGTTGTTTGGATCATATGAATTTCCTCTGTGTATCTTCTGCTGGTATCTCAAAAATGGTTGCTATCTGTTGCAGGGGTCACCTGGAAACTGGGTTGACTCTGTGCAAGATGAAATGGTACCTGTGATGGGGACACTGACTCACCTTCTTCCCTGAAGAGGTGCTTCCAGGCCTCTTTAGGGAGAGAGCTTCTGTGTTTGCACTCCCATTGACAAAGGAGGTCCCCAGGACCTCCTGCTAGCACTGAAAGCACCGTGCACATTATGAAAATGGTTTTTATTACTCCCAGACCCAAGCTCTTGGGTTTCCTTTGTGGTTAATGTGGCCCATCTGTAGTTTAAAAAAGCAATGTTCAACTTTCTTGCTTTCGATATTTTGTGTAGTGCTATGCTCAGGTGATCATTGTAAATGCATTGCCCAGTTTTGCACCTGATTTTTCCAAAGTCTGGAGCTTTTTAGTTGTTCTGGGATGTGCCTACATTCTCAAGGGTCTTTATTTAGGGTAAAAAGGAGTGACTATAAGAAGTTCAAGGGGGATGAGTTAGATGGAGCAGAACAGTCTGAAACAGCAAAAGTGTGGCTTGGAGCTCTCCTGACTTCCAGGGCTACCTGCTCCAAGGAGTCACAAGGAGCTCTGGACCAGGTGAAGTGAGGAGGGCTCCCTTCCAGGGAGGCCTGATGTGTTATGCTGCACTAAAATGCATATAAATGTCAGCTCAACAGCCATCTCTCCAAATTCTTCCTTGCCATGGCCAAGAACATATCTAGAGGGAGATGTTCAAAGGTAGCTGTTCTGCCTGATAGTTTTTAATGTTCTAACACAGCCTCTTGCAGGAATATCTCTAAGGAATGGATTGCTTTCCACCCCAAGCTTTCTTATACAGTGAGGAACTGAAGGGAACTAATATGGTTCCTTACACCACCATTACACCTTGCAGTGGGCTGGAGAACTCAGAGCAAGCCCAGCAGCCCAGAGAAGGAGAGCAAGGACAAAAGGAAGAAAGAGGGACCCTTGCTCCTAGTCCAGCTTTCCAACTCTGTTTCCAGCATAGCATTCTGGGTGCTTTTTTCTGCAAAAGTCACATGTTTTAAAATGTGCAGCATAAACCCAAGAATTATCAATTTCAATAAGTCTGCCAGTAAAAAAAAAATCTGCCCCCTCCTTTTTTTTTCTTTTTTTTAAAGGGTCAGAATATGCCAGGACAGCATTTAGCCTTATATATTCACACAGTAATGTCAAACATGAGCTGTCTCTTAAAAGCAGAGTGCAGAATTATCAGAGACAAAACAAGACTCGGACATTGGCAAGGAAGCACTCTCTACTCTCCCTGCCTGACTGAGCTAACGTTTCCTAATTGCAACCAGAGAACTGTGCAAGAGTTTAAAAACTTCACCTTTTTTCCAAATCATGGGGATGTGCCCCTGTGAAAGCTATTTCCCTCATTGTTGGTTCTTCAGAATAATTACCAACTAGCAGCATTGAACTTTTCTCTTCACTTCCTTCTTTTATTTTCTTTCTTTCTTTTTGATGTGTGTCACATTTCAGCTCTGTAGCCATCCTGCCCTTGGGTTAACCACACAGAGGTCAGAACTCTGAAGTGCTCAGAGCTGGGCTGGGGAAAGGGGATTACCCATGTTGTTGTTAACCCATGACCTTCATGTTTTCTGTTGGATTCAGTGTTTTGCACTTAGGACAAACCCCTCCCCTCTGACTTTCCCATTCCCCCATTCCTGCATTTCTGAGTTCTGCCTAGTAGCAGAATTAGAATGAGCAAAATACCACAGGAAAGATGATGCTGGAAGAAGTATTTATTAACTGTATTACCAGATGCAGAATGGTAGGAAGCATATCCAGCCCAGACATATCTAACCAAATCTAACTGAAGCTCATGAATCTGCAGAAGTCCAGCAGAGCTTTTCTGGCTACATGCCCAACAGGCATGCTCTTGCTTGACCATATCCTATCTCAAATGTTGGTGTTGTCTTACTGAACTCAGCATTTTTTCTTCCATTTGCCTTTATTAAAATTCAACGAGGTGCTGAGAAGCCAAGAGCTTATGTTTTCGAAGAGGGTGAGGAGTTTTAAAAGTTTTAATTTGGGAAAGTGAAAAGCATGGGCAGCTTCTCTACCTTTTGATTTCAAAAGGTAGCAAAACCAACATGACAAGTTAAAGAATGTGTCACATCCCACTGCTGTGTGTGAATGCTTATCCTTAATGATGTGCTTTTAAGGATCTTGGATAAGAACCAAAAGGAGAGCTTTGAAAACTCACTCATACAGAATAATTGTATTTAACCTACACTGTCAGTTCACACTGTATCATCTTAAAGAATAATAAATAAGCAGTCAACATTCTTACAGTAACCTCTCACTACTCAGTACCAGGAGGTGAGGGGACATGTGCCTTCCCAGACATCAGGTGCGCCGTGGTGGTGCTGGGAGTGCTTAGTTTTGGTTTAAAACTTGACAGTAGCAGTGGGGGGATGAAGTTAAAATGCAATCATTCTGAGTCAAACGGTAAGGCCTAGGAAAACAGATGTGGGATGTGTGCCATGAGCCAAGATCAACTTCACAAAACTCAAAAGATTACTTCTACAAAAACTGGAGGGGGGAGAATTATCCAGTGAATGTTGTGATGGATGGGAGCAAGGAAATAGCTCAGGAAAGTCAAACAACAGGATCTGCAGCACAAAAATGTTAACTTTCTGGTGCTGTTATTTTGTCATAGGTAGGAAATTCTTTCTATAATGTCTGAAGGGTATTAATTACTGTTTTCCTCTGACATAAAACGGGGGGACAGAGACTTTTATTTCTCTTAACTGCTTCTGCACTATCTTCAGAGCAAACCTGCCCTGCTTTTTAAAATCCTGAGCGCATAGGGCTATTCTTTGTCCACCCTTTCCCTGGGAGTTTTTGTTGTTGTAGCAACTTCTTTATTTTTCTGTCAAGAAAACACAAATAAAAGTTTAACTTTGGTCAATATTGGCTTTGGGCCAATCCCAAATATTGCAAGCCAATTCAGCACTAGATTGTATTTACCAGTTTTGCTTCTGGCCTACCTTCTGCATCCAGGCTGTGTTTCTTACAGTGCTGCTCTGCATAATCTGTGTTACCATATTGGGCCACCTTATAAAAAATCAGGAGCTAAGAGCTTTTTCTCCAAAGTGGCTAGTGGTTTTGAGCCCTTTAAACACACAGGCCAAATACTTACCATCTCCTTAAAATGGACCAGCTCAGTGCACCCCTTTTGAGCCCTCTGATGACTGGTTTCATCTTGGTCAGCTGTGCCCTGCTAGAGAGGGACACCTGTTTCTATCCCCCGTGTCTCATCTGGTTCTTTCTGTACACCTATGGGGCACATGGAGACCTGGCTGAAAATACACCATGTGTCAGTTGTTTCCTGCATGTTCCATTGTATTTTTGGAGACTTACTTCATTGGCTGTGGATCAGCAGTGTCCCCATGCCACAGGTCTCTTCTCAGCACAGAAAAGGTTGGCAGCTCCATCTCCTGCTCTGGCTTCTCTTTAAGTTCTCTCCTGTGAGTGCTCTGCAGAAGTGCATCAGCTTCAAGCCCTAGTTAGTCAGGTTGCCCATATCCCAGCAAGAACTTGTTCTTCTGGCACTTTCCAGTTAGCATCAGTGTGTCTCTGGCTGTTACCAGTACCACCTCCCTCACTAGACATCTTCCTTGGATTAGCAGGTCTGTTGTTCTGAAAATTCCATGCCATAACACAGCCCTGTTCCAGAAGACTCTTTCAACTATTGCTGAACAGTATCCAGAAACATCACACAGTCCCTCACAGATGAAAACACAAGTTCTCTGTAAAACTGAGCCAAGGCACCTTCAGCTTCTGCATTAGAAGCCCTTCTGTGTTTTGCATCCAGCCCATTGGTTGTCATCGTTGACACTGAACAAAAGCCTCTGCTGCTGTTCATGGGGAGAAGCCCCCAGTCTAAGCACCACATTTTCCTGGAATCTATGTAGGACTCGAAGATATTAATCTGTTTATTTCCCTAACACATCCACTGAAAGCCTGGAGCAGTTTTTCAAGGTTTCCCACAAGCTAAACCAAGCCAAAGGTTCCTGGCTGACAATCATCAATAATATTGAGCTGCTACTTAAACTCTGCTGTCCTTAGATGAATTGACAGCTCTTCCCTTCCAGGGGGAAGATAACATCTTTGCTCTAAAAAGATGAGGTGCCTGTTGTCTGGTCTCCTCTGCCTCTTCTGAAACTTTTCAGAGAAGCAATGTGTTGATGTATTATCCTGAGTCATTAATAGAGCATGTGCTTTGGAGCTGCCTTTTTTTTTTTTTCTTTTATCAACTGTATATTGTTCCTTCTACTCACCTGGATCTGGCATCCTCCCCTTTGGGCACTGGTGTCTTTCTGAGAAGGGCTCA